TACTATTTGGAGAGTGTCACCCATATTCATACCTCAGTGCTGACCTGCTACAAGGCATTGTACGTATTGGAAACTAATCAAGAAATTGAATATTTGTGGTTCAGGGCTTCTACAGTCCAACTTAAACTTTCTAAGTATCAAGGTTAAAATCAAAAGAGAGGAAAAGCACATTACAAAATAGGAACAGAATTGAAAATGATTTAGAAAAATGGTGAATGAGGGACTGCCCAAAGTACTTCACTTAAAAAACCATAATTTTGGTAGGAACAGAATTACAAAATAGGAACAGAATTGAAAGTGTAGCTTTTGGTAGAACAGTTAGAAATTAACTTCAAGAACCTTTAATAAAAAACCATAATTTTTCTTTAACTCTAAACAAGGGGCCATTATCCAATCTGGGGTTCCATGTTTTCATGGTAGTTAGCCCATGACGTACTATTTTTTCAAAATCCAACTCACCAGTAAATTATGTGTCATTCTTGGGAAAGTCTCCCGCCGTAATGTCTCCCCATTCCCCTAATAAGGGGGTAAAAGATTTAAACATACCTGGATTTTCATAAATTAACTTAAACATACCCTGATTTTGTATAATGGACTTCCATTCCTTGTGACTCTTTTACCATTCATTTTCTTTCAAATTTTAAAAAAGAACCAATGCCTCCAGTCATTTTCAATTCCATGGTAATCCTAGGGTAGTCTTGCAAAACTTCCTCAAGCTCTTGAAATTTAAATTCCTCTTATATGGTATTTATTCCATATTCTCTTCTCCAACAAACTTCCCCATCTTTATTATTATATTTTAGCCTCAGCTAGGCTGAAAAGTCAAAAAGCTTGCATTCAAAATGCTTTGAAAAGTGATCTGATTAATGTTACCAGTCATTCTAATTATGATCTCGCTTTAGGTTTTTCTCCTTTTCATTCTTTTTATCTCGTTAGTTTTCTGTTTCTTCTTTTTTTTCCTTTTGTATCTTTGTCTCCTGTTGGTTGAATGATATATATTTTTTTTTCTTGTGTGGCTTTCTTCTTGAGACCCTTTTTTTTGCAGCGCCTCTCATCTTTGGAGTTCTCCACATTGCATCTCCTTTCTTTCTAGGTTCTAGGTAGGGATAATGGGAGGAAATCTCCCTTCTTTCTTTTTGGGTAGATGATCAGGTATGTGTATGGTTTTGGGTAGATGTGCACAGAAGCCGAAGTCCACTTTTGCCATTCTTGATGCATACAGAAGAGCAAGAGAGGAGAACTACTGAAGTGGTGCCTAGGTGGCAACATTTATTGAATAAATGCCCATGGAACCAAACACCCTGCAAGGCTCTCATCTATTAAAGGAAAAATAGGATTTAAAAAAATTAAATGAGTTCACATGTGATGGGAGGGTATGTTTAAGTCTAGTAAGTTAGTTCACAAGGAATATTTAAGTCTAATTGAAAAACTCAGGGTATGTTTAACTATAAGTCAATTTATAAAGACTTGGGGCCTGTTCGTTTCCTCTTAACTCTTATCTCTTAAGAGGAATCTTTTAATTTTAAGAGAAAATGGTTGTTCGTTTCCTCTTATCTCTTATCTCTTAAAGAGCAATCATCAAACTTTTTATTTCCCAATGATACCCCCAAAAAAGACAAACAAAAATTCTCATATATGGGGTCAATGGATATTTGATAATTTTTAGAATTCAGAACAACATACAAGCCCTTAGGGTATTTTAAGTCTTTTACCCTAAAAAAAATGGTAAGAACAATAGTAAGTACAAGTAACCTAGACTGGTGATTCTGTTACCTAAAACATTGATGGACCCATTAAGTTTGAGGAATATTTGTTAATTCCATATGCTCAACAAGAAAAATGAATTCACAATATGAAGTAGAAATTTGTTGTTGATTTTGTGAATTATTGTTGATTATTTTGGAGTGTTTGATAACATGGTTCTTTTATTTTTCAAAACAAAAACAACTACCGCATCTAAAAAAAAACTATAGAAGTTTGTTATGTGGAAGTTGTTTTGTTTTAAAAAACAAAACCAATCATGTTGTTAATACCCCGAAAATTTTCATTGGACTTTGAATTAGAAATGACTTACATATTATATATTATTAACAAAATGAAGTAAAAGTAACTCTCAAAGAAACTTGAACTTGTGAACCTTTAATACAACGATGGTACTTAAATCTACTTTATCAATAATCAATAAGGATCCAAATTCGACTTGGGTACTTGGACAGCCCTATTCCTCATCTCAGTTTGTAGTGCAAAATTTATTTGTACTAATGTAAATGCATAGGAGTGCAAATAGATTAAGTGAAAATTCTGCTTTACTTTTGCTTCTGATTTGACTCTGTCTCGTCTTTTTGAAAAGTATAATGAAATAGTTTTCACATTATGCAAAAGAGAATAGAGGTAGGAGGAAAAAATATTTATTTGGGACTTCTGAGTGATGTAGAAAGCAAGATGATGTAGTCCCACTATATGAGAGAATTGAGATAGGAACTAGGAACAAGGTGATGCAAATTTTATATTAGTTTTTGGGATACAAAATTTGCACTTCCATGAGCGCAGATAGGGGTGGCCACGAGACGAGCTCTTTACGAGCTATTCGAGCTCAGCTCGATTTCAATCGAATTTCGAGCTGAGCTTGAGACCAATTTCCAGGCTTGTTTGTTAATCAAGTCGAGCTCAAATAGCTACATACATTAATTCTTAATTTTTTAAATATCAAATAAAAATATTATATATATATATTTATTTATTTTTATAAAACATTTTTATCAAGTTGAGCTTGAGTTGAGCCGAGTTCAAACTTACGAGCTTTTGACTCCAGTCAAGCTCGGCTCGAGTGCAAGGTTCTAGCTCAAATGGAGCTCGAGCCTCGAATAGCTAACTATTTGGTTTGACTCGGCTCGAATCCACCTCTAAGTGCAAATGAGATAAAAAAGTATAAAGTTTGTATTATATAAGAATGCAAATCATAGTTACAAACAAATATATGTAAAAACTAAATCAAGTGCAAAATTTGTATCTCATTCAAATTTGCACTGCAACAAATAGAGCCTCGGGAACAAACAATACTATTCTAGGTCTGAAATAGTCAAAATTCAAATACACGTTTTTTGCTATTTTGGGCCACCGAACTAATACATGAACCAAATAGATATTCCATCCATGAGACAATCTTTTCGAGCGGCCAAGCCAAATAAATGTTTTTTTGGTCACTTTTCGAAATAGAAATTGGCCATTGCATAGCCAACATTTCAACCATGGTGCTTCCTAGGGGTGAGCATGGGTCAATTCGGTTCAATTCCATGGAAGAACTTGGAACCTACCCTATAGGGGTCAGTTCCAGGTTTTTGAAACCTGAACTTACTTTGTGAAGGTCAGTTCCAAGCAAGGTTCAAAGTATCGACATGTATCGGCCCGTATCGGTCGATACGTATCGTTCTGGGACCTCTCTAATATGCCCCTACAGTGGGTGTATCGGGGGTTTGATTGGTTCAAGGGTGGAGGAGCTCTAAACTGGCCCCCTTGAACCAGTTTTGAAAAAAAAAAATTTAAGAAAAGGTATTGATTCGCTCGATACACCCCTATGGGTATATCGGGCGTATTGATATTTTGAACCTTGGTTCCAAGGTCAATTCTAACCTTGGTAGTTCCAAGGTCAACTTGTGGAACCTATTCTTTCTTTACTCTCCCCCTTCAAGAAAAAAAGAAAAAACAAAAGAAACATGTCCTTAAAAAACTTGATTTTCAATAATGATAATATATAGTTTAAAACTTATATTATTTTTACTGATTGAATTGAGTAATTTAATATGTAGATTATCATAACATATTAATATATGGTTCAAAAATAACTATAATTTAAATTTTGTAAGTATCACCTTTTACATTACTTATTATATGCATTCAATTATTATAGTGAAAACAAATGATCAAATCACAAAGTCAATGGTCAAGTGAGAACATGGCCTTTATAACCATGAGTGTTTGGGTTCAAATATTCATATCCTCAAAAGTATGTTAGGGTTTATTTCAAGGCAAGTTCAGTTCCGAGGCTAGTTCCACCAAGGCCAAGTAAGACTGGTTTATCAGGTTGGTTCGGGTAGGATAAACCTCTAGACTTTGGAACCAACCGGGGTGGGGGTTGGTTCCAAGAATTTGGAACCAGACCCTACCCTGTAACAGATCAGGTAGGTTTGGTTCCATTCGGTTTTCGGTAGAAGCTACCCATTTGCTCACCTCTCTAGTGCCTCCTAAACTAAATCTTTCCTTCCCATCCCTTTTGATTGGAGACGAACTTTCTAAAAGTACAAATAACTGTTGGGGTTGCTCTCCCTACCTTAAAATTCTTGGGATAAGTGAACTGTAATTCACCTCAGAAATCTGAATTGCAGCCCCCTCCTAGTCTACTAGTAGCCTCCTTATAAACCGCATCCTGCTGTGAATTTGACATCAATCCACGGGCAAGATTCAGTCCACCCCTAGAAATCTTAGCTCCACCCTAGAGGTGGACTGAACTATAAAAACCCCTAAATTCTTTTCCCTCTTGGTCAACAGGCCAGTGGTTCAACTGTTTGGGTTAATGGGCCAACCTGTGATGTGTCATCAATGTAAAAAATCTCAAAAAATAAAATATACAAAAATCAGATAAGCCACTGAACGGGTTAGATGGTTCAATGCTTCTATCATCCGGGTTGACAGGTCATGGACCAGGTCAACAGATTTTGTAACGTAGCAGCAGCTTAGGGGTTGATTGATCAAAACCAGAATCTTGATCGGGTGGGTCATTGATCCGACCATCCATGTGACAATGCTTTTGAACCTTGTAATTCTTTGTACTGAATGAGGAGCCGTTGCTGTTATTTTTTGGCATCTGCAATCGGCGTTTTCAGACTTCGACTGAATCGATCAGTGGTTGAGTCATTTAGAGCAGGAACCAGATGAGTGACTCCGAATCTGACAACATAGTCTTCAATTTATACCAATCAAATTAAAGTTTTCTCAGAGAGAGAGAGGGAATTAATGCCTCTTATTATATTTGGTAATTCAAAGAAGACTGATACAACAACACACAGATTCTCAAACCCAATCCCCAACACAAGGAAGCAAAGAAAATCAATCTCAAGATCCTGTCCCTGCTTTTAGTATTATACACCGTATACAAGATAATGAGGGAAAAATTAAAGGAAAATAAAAAAGAGAGCATGCTTTCAGATTACATCTTCTGCAGCTTATCACTGAGAATTTGGCCAAGTGTTTTCAACCAAGTTTTCCTGCTGTTGCTTTCACTGTGACATCTCTGCAACAAAGGTATTAGAAAGAGAGATAAAAAAAGTAGTCCATGAAGGTGGCTTCTGCAGCGCAGCTCTTCTGCAATCCATTCCCTGCAGATATGCATAAAGTCATTATTTCAAACATCAGATCTTGATATCATAGGAAGTCAACTCATTACTCAACTGTCTGTCATATTAATGAACCAACAAATGAAGAAAATCAGCCATCAGAGATAACTTAAAGGTAAATATGCCAAATTTTCTTTTGTGGGCTTCAGAGATTAATTGTCTAGCTTTGGCCATAGCTACTGTCAATTGGGGACTTACCAGAGAGAGGAAGGATGTGGTTGTCTTTGCTTGGGTAAGGGAGCTTCAGAGGGCATGAGTAAAGTGGAAGAACAGGGAGATTGTCACAGTTGCAGATTTCAACCATATATCCATCAGGATCGTGGAAGAAGAGCTGGTCCACCTTAATTCCACTATCTTCAACCACTGCAGTGACATAATCAATGTTCACCTTCTCCAGTTTCTTCATTACCAGTCGCATGTCTGAACACTGGAACGAAATGTGGTTGTCCTTTGGATTGATTACTTCTTTCTTCTCGGGGACATCGTCTGGTGAGTTGCACTGAAGCAAGTGAATGCCAATTCCATAATTGAACAACCTGCACAACAACCACAATCCCCTCAGCTTAGCCACATTAAATCTGTAACTTTGAGAAGGTACAGAAGCATGGAAATGAATCAAATAGAATGAGAAATAAACTCTTTTCTTTTATATATTCTCGTATTACGGACCATAATTGAACCACTCTAGCAACAAGAAGATGCCTAAAACTCAAAGATGAAGCCAAAAGGCCCAAACTGAGTTGCACTTTAGCCATTCAAGGTTGCAGCTGACGCTCTTCTAGGCTGAACCTTAAGGTAAAGTTGAAAAGATTGTAAGAGAGTGCGAGGTGCAACCCTTAATACCAGGGATTCTTAATTTTATAGGAAGCATGGTCCGTAATCCGTAATCCGTAATACCGGGGATTCTTAACAGACAATGGATTCGGACAACAAAAAAACACCACAGAATTTGTGAAGAACAACACAATTTCTCCCTTCTGCATAAAAAACTAAGCTTGATAGGGGTATTAGGGTCCTTTTACTGATAAGAGTAACCATCTACTAAAATAGAATAAATGGTTGGCCAAATCAAATGTTCAATTTATTCCTTATTATTTAATTATGTTCTCTACCCTCAACTTACTCCATCATCCAAACTCTATATTTTTCGTATTATATATATATATATATATAATTAAGACCAAATAATCAAAACTAAAAATAATACCCAATTGCAATAAAGATATTCAATTAAAGTCGGCCATTGCAAAAATCAAACAAAACGTGTCTAATAACAAAAAAAAGAAAGAAAGAAAGAAAGAAAGAAGCAAAATGCCTAGTTTTGAAGGAAAACTAATTCAATGCAAAAATCTAAACAGTTGTTAGGTAACTAGGAAAAGACTTGCAAGAGGAAAATCAATTTTATTTTCGAGATGGGGATGGAGATCTTCTCACACCTTTGGCTTTACATGTCTAGTTCTATGCTGTTTTTGTTTTTCCTCTCTCTCTCTCTCTTCCTCTCTCTCTCTCTTTCTACATAGAGTGACTTAAAAGAGGAGCCATGGAAGAACAAATTAAAGCCCAGGGTGTAAGTAAATAGTTCAACTCTCAGAGTATGATTATCATTTCTCATGTTGCAAAGAGAGCTGTTAAAGCTACTTACACAGAACCATTCAATCATACCATTCTGCTCAATCCACCTCCTTTTTCCTCTCTTTATTGTACACCCCATTTTTGATAGACATAACCCCCACCACTAATTATTTTGTGTTCCCAGATCGGCACTTTCTTTTCCTTTTTCTTTTGAAAAAAAATCTTGGCTTTTCTGCTCAAAGTCATTTAAGAGGATAAACATAATCCTCACTACAAATTATTAGGCTGCAGAGGTTTTTCTGCTCGAATTGGGCCAAAACAAGGTTTGTGTTAACTAGATGCCGATAAGAAAGAAAAACACTTCCTGTTGTGGGCCAAAACAAATTTGTCTAGTCAGACCTCCATTATCAAGCAGTTACTGTTACAATTTATGGGATTACACTAAGTCTACGTTAATAACAACCTCCCTGGCTCCTTCCCCCGTCTCCACCTCCATCACCCAGAGATATTGAAGGCCCAAACTCCAACTGGATGATGGCGTGATGCCAATTCCAACCATCCAATCCATTAGAAAATTAGTTCCAAGTTAAGTTTATATGGAGCTATATAGGGCCCACTGTCAAAGCACCCTCTGTAACAAATTTGCAGCCAAGACAACATGAAAAAAAACAAGCAGTCTGATACAGAAATACAATAAAACACCACAAAAGTATTAAAAGAATAAGAAAGATAAAAACGGATATACCAAGCTCCTTCGAACTTGAAGGAAGACGGCCGCTTGATCATCACAAACCCCAATGCCTCTTCGTAAAACCTCACAGACTCCTTCACCGATCTACAAACGAATGATACATGGTTCAGCGCCAGAAGGGGCATTGTTTCTGTAGATGGACTCGTCACCTTCTCCTCTTCTACTTGTACTACTCTCTCAACCTCTCTTCCCATCTTTCTCTCTCTCTCTGGCAAAGTATCAAAGTACCACATGCTTTCATAGTTATATATATAAGCTCGGTTCAGGGAAGTATTCAAGTAAATCATTATTAAAATGAAATACGAATAAAATATCTGATACTGTAACTGTAGAGTCGGAGTCATATTACCATTTACTTCGTAAAATTTACGGCCACGTCATTAAAATCCTTGTGAGATTAAGTCAACCGGGAATCAGGGCAATATCAATATTCAGAACTGATGTGTTTCTTGATTGACCCAGTAGGCCCTGAAGAATGTAGACATTTATCGTCCAGTAGTTCTTTATTAGAACCACGCTTGGCTCTCCTGCTTTTGCTTGGGTATCACTGTCTAAACCGTGTCTGATCTCTCCGAAAACTCTGACTGTCTGTTCTCTGAAGTGGGTTAATGTGTAAAGTAAACGACGAAAACGTGCAAAATGGAACCCATTAATTAATGCCCGTCTCTTATGTTGATCAGACGATTTAGATTGTTTCAGCACGCACCGCCCTTGTTGTACGTTTTCTGGAGGACGACTGCGAACTTCAAACAAACACATAGTCTGCAATTTTTAGAATTTGATTACGGGGAGAATGACGGTTCAGCCCAGTGTCTAGGGCCAAAGTGTGCCACATCGGAATTGATGTAAATTCACGGGCGAGAGTGGGGTAATTAGGGGTGTAAACGGATCGAATTCGAATTAGATCAGGTAATATTCAAATTCGAATTCGATTAGAAAATTCGATATTCAATGGATATTGAAAATTAATATCTGAATTTGAATCTGATTAAATATTCGAATATTCAATTCAAATTCGATTAATTAATTATTTTAGATAATTAATAAATATATAAAATAAATATTTTATTGATATATATATATATATATATAAATATATAAATTATTTATATAACTTAATTATTATATATATTATACAAAATATTTTATATATTATATATAAGAATTAAATAATCGGTCGAATTCAAATATTTATCGAATCAAATCAGGTCATATCTGAATTCGAATCTGATTAACTATTCGATACGAATAGCATATCCAAATTCGATTTGATTATGTCGAATACCAAATTCGAAATCAGATTTTCGAATACCGTTGACACCCCTAGGGGTAATTGACCTTGTAGATCTGCAGTGGAAATCGGATTTCGGGCTTGTATGTATTTCTCCATTGATTGATTTATGAGAAACTACATGCCTCTCCTTGTGTTTGGGTCACGTGCACAAAATTCAGTTAATGCTATTTTGGTATTGGTTATGAATCTGCAATTAAGGAGATGCTCTCTAATGTGGATAAAAAATTGGTGGATATGGAGTAATGCACACCACACCGATATACCAATCCACACCACAACATAATTCACAGGAGTTCAAATCAGCGCCCCCACAAACGCCCCACCCAATCAGAAGGCGCCAAGTGTCCTCTCGCCTGATTTCCTTCCTCAGTGGGCATAGAATTAACGGGTCGGCCGTTAGCTCCAAATTCCCGCTACTCTCGAGTCTCGACTTTCGATCCCTGCAGAGATCTCACCGTGACCGATCCCTCTCCGATCTAAACCCCTTGGGAAACTCCCGCCTAGATCTAGAGAAGCTCTCGGATCGATGCATACGCTCTCCTCCATAGGAGTTCTTAGGTGAAGAAATTGAAACCACCCTGTCGTTGCAGTCCYGGTAGCGATCAAAGCTCTTTCTACAATTGAAGCCATCAGAGTCATGGTCCAATCGCTTCTGCAAGGATCTGGAACTCTCCCGATCATCGTCTATCAATCGATCGTACCCAGACGAAGATGATAACCCCTTCCGCTCATTACTCTCAGCTTTTGAATAAAACCGCCGATGCGAAGACGAGCGGTCTACATCCTGATCCCTTATTCCCCAATCTTTACAAACTCCCTTCTCCCCAACCGAATCAAGATCATTCTGGCAAGTTGAAGATCGTTCTGGCAGACACATCGGAGGTATTCCCCATTTGTGTGGGGCATTTGTGAGGTGTAGATTTGGATAGCTGTTTTGAACTATGGATAAATTATGTGAACCCACAGTAGCTAGTCCACACTACACATTTTTTATTCTATATATTTCATATATATTTTATGAATGATATACATAATTAATCATAAATATCTATTTTTTGTATTTTATATGATAAATATTTTGAAAAATGCATCAATTAATTAATATTAACCAATAAATATTAATTTTTTATAAAATAATAATAAAATAATTAAATTACCATGCTTGAACTTGACATCTTAAACCCCAATTATCCAAATTACTCTTGAAGTTCCAAAATTATCAAATTACATATAGACTTCTCTAAAATTACCAAACTACCTTTATCCCTATTATCAAAACTGACCAACTTTCTAATTTAACCTAATTTGAAAGAGGCACTATTCAACGTCTTCCTCCTTATATGAGAACAATGCCGTGGTGGCAACTAAAACCTCCCCCATTCTCTCTTCTTCTTCTTATTCTCTCTCTCTCTTCTTTTTCTTTATTCCTTCTTCTTCCTCCTATTCTTCTCCTCTTCTTCTTCCTCTCCTTCTCCCTATTCACATTGCTCTCAGACCGTCCTCCAACTCTTCTCTCCGACAATGTTCTGGAACAGTAAACTTACCTCTTCTATCAGAACTTGCTTCATTTCTGGCAGAAGCAAGTAAACGAAGCAGCTCATGATGAAAATCAAGCACACGAACAGCAAGAATATAGCATGATGGAGGTGGCAGAGAGCTACAAGGAAACACTAGGCAACCAAAGCAGTGAAGAAGAGGTTAACACAGACAACCATACTTTGTCCAGCTGATCTCGTCTCCAGCGGGAAAAGCTCGCTTGGAACTAGCCACCTGAGAGGACCCCATGACCACCCATATCCTAGCTCAAAGAAGAAGGGAATCAGTATAGCATGGGATTAAAAATAAACCGTGAAAAAGATATATCCATAAGTTTTTAGTGTTGATTCTATATTGAGGGGTGCACGAGACCCGTCCACACTCGGCCAAATGCGTCTTCATCCTATGTGTCCATAAGATGAATGTGCCCAACACCGCCTAAGCTGCAATGGGACAGGGATTGTGGATTCTCTCTACATTCTATAACCACATTATAGAAGATTCTCTACTGCATCTGATAAGAAAGGGAATCAGCTTGAAGTACAACATGGAGTTTGATTGATTGGGAAAACAGGTCATAGTGTTAGACATTTTTGTATGCCCTTAGCTTCAATCAGAATGATGTATTTTATGAGTTTATTGTAAATGAATAAAGATACATATTTGATTCATGTTCCCTT